TATGAATACCTCCTAATGTTGATGTCTCTTCCGAACCAGGTTTGTTAATTATAACGCTAGCTTCTCAGCTTTTGTTAAGCTAAGCTGACTAAAAATGTCTCGCGTCTGTGATGTAGAAATGGACAGAAATTATAGGACAGGCACGGCAGAGTGTAGATTTCCTCAAGGATCAAGATGTGATACGTACTGTGCAAAATATTCTCCAGGTCCTTCTTCCTGCTTTTATACTTTGACTGGTTGCAGAGAGCTTAGTTGGAATTGCCTTGTGTTACTACTTTTAATCCATGGATTAGAAAGATTTTTGTTCCACAATATTATCAAGCATAATTTCATATCGTCAGTATGTTGAGCTCCTCTGTCTGGTCGTCAATGAATAGATTTTGGTTTGGCTGTGCGAAGTCTTATTCATATCTTTGTGTATTACAGACAAATACTAGTGTTGCCAATTCACTGGGAACATACTTTTTGTCGCAAATTTCCTTGATCTTCTTAGATATGCTGAATGTATACAGGTAAAAACTCATTATACCACAATAATAGCAGAGCTTGGTTTTCTTTATGCATTCACTGATTTGTGTGCTCTTGTATCGCCACAACAGAATGTACAGTGAGCTTGTATCTAGCAGCATTGCTGGTGGCGGCCCTTATGCTTCAAGGACATCTTTTGTTAAACTTCTAAGGTAGGATTACCTTATGCACCCAAGATGAACATGATGAAAGGTTGTAACTGCCTCTTATCTACAAACTCGAATGATCTTATGCTTTTGTTCTTATTGAACAGGTCTGTGAAGAGGGAAACCCTTAAACTGATTGAAACATTTTTAGACAAAGCTGAAGACCAGCCACACATAGGAAAGCAATTTGTGCCACCGATGATGGATTCTGTTCTTGGTGACTATGCAAGAAATGTGCCTGATGCTAGGGAATCAGAAGTTCTCTCACTCTTTGCAACAATAATAAACAAGTAATTCTCTTGTTTTTTGTTTTCTCAATAATTATCACGGAATACACGAACTGATTGATGCAAAATTGTTTCTAGATCTAAGTTTGGTATTCCAAAAGAAGCCTTAGTGCATGATATGACATAAAAATTTACTGGCATTGAAGTTATTACAATATTAATACATGTTCATGTAGGTACAAGGCTGCAATGCTTGATGATGTGCCCCGCATATTTGAAGCTGTTTTTCAGTGCACGCTGGAGGTAAAAATTATATGAACCATGAATTTATTGTTTACAAATTAGTGTGTTGTTGTTGTTGTCTATCCACAATGAAGCAGGTTCTATGTTTGGAAAAGTATTATATTAACTTATGGAGGAGATGGAGTTTTTATTGATTTTTAGTTGGTAGACATAACTTAGAAGAGTGTCGTTTTGGATGACCTTTTTTTTAACATAAGCTTTTTTTTTCTTATTCATAAATATCTTTTTCTTATTCGACATCAAGACTGGACTTGTGGGTATGACTTAAGAGTTGGTTTTATTTTAGTTGCTTTGCTGACGTTTCATCTTTCTGCAGATGATAACTAAGAATTTTGAAGATTATCCGGAGCACCGTCTCAAATTTTTCTCATTACTTCGTGCTATTGCTACTTTCTGTTTCCCAGCCTTGATACGGCTGTCAAGTCAGGTTGGTAAATGTTTTTTTTTTTGCTTTTTGTAACCTAAGGAAATCATAGTCGTAATTTGTTTTTCAATCATCTAATTCAGTCTGGTTCACTTTATTGAATAATCTGCATATACGTTGATAGTTTTATCTTTAAAAAAGCCTTTCACTTATTTTATCATGTGCCTTGTCATGCATCAGCAATTGAAGCTAGTGACGGATTCAATCATCTGGGCATTTAGGCATACCGAAAGAAATATCGCCGAAACTGGGCTTAATCTTTTGCTTGAGATGCTGAAGAACTTTCAGGTTTTGTTATTTATTTTCTTTTTCTGTGTGGGCTATTTCCAAGTTATCCACTGAGTTGCTATAATGTGTCTCTGGTCCAACATGTGCCTCTTATTGTGATAGGCTTCTGAGTTCTGTAATCAATTCTACCGGACATACTTTATGCAAATTGAGCAAGAAATATTTGCTGTTTTAACCGACACCTTCCATAAGCCGGGATTCAAATTGCACGTCTTGGTGCTGCAGCATCTTTTTTGCCTGGTATGCATGTCCTCCCTGTTGGATGACTGGTTTGTATGTGTTTTTAGCTGGTAGTTTGTGAACACAAGGGTTGATTATGTTTTTCAGGTCGAGAGTGGGTCTTTGACAGAACCTTTGTGGGATGCTGCAACAGTACCTTATCCATACCCTAACAATGCGGCTTTTGTTCGTGAATATACCATAAAGCTCCTGAGCACATCGTTTCCCAATATGACTGCGGCAGAGGTAAAATTAAACCGGAATCTTTGCTTTCCAAGTTCTCCTATGTTTCGTCTCTTTTTCTAAGATGCCACTTATCTTAAAATTATAAATGTGCAGGTTACACAATTTGTCAATGGACTATTTGAGTCAAGAAATGACTTGTCTATGTTTAAGAACAATATACGCGACTTCCTTGTACAGTCCAAAGAATTTTCGGCACAGGTAACCACATTTTAGTTTACCTGGAATCTATTATTCTACATTTGTATTCTTTGGTAAAGCTAACTGTAAGATTATATAAGCACGAACTAATTGGATTTCAATTCATTGGGCTGACATCAGGATAACAAAGACCTCTATGCCGAGGAGGCTGCTGCTCAAAGGGAGAGGGAGCGGCAAAGAATGCTCTCGATCCCGGGGCTTATTGCTCCTAATGAAATCCAAGACGATATGGACTCGTGAGGCGTAAAAAGCCATATATGGCAATGGAGCCTTCTCTATTTGTTGAATCGGATGATCGCTGAGTTCAAAAAAGCAAAACAGAAGGAAGAAAACTTAGGGTATGAGCCTTTTTTTTCCCCTGATTATATACCTCGGGTTTTATGCGGAGCTTCCCTTTCGATTTTGAGAACTGGAAAGCTTTGGAAGAGAAGAGGGCGTAGGGGCGAAGTAGTAGTAGTGGTGTTATGTGTCGTTGGTATGGAGGGTGAATTTGAAGTAGATTTTTCACATTAGGGGGCTAATGTAGGGAATATATCTTTTGCATCGTTATGGGCATATATATACATATATGTATTTCTCATTAGCTTGATGTCTCTCTGCCCCGAGTGCTCTCTGTGTTTTCTTTCTTTTCCTCTTTTGGTGGGTGTGGGGGATTCAGTGATGTATCGTGTCTTTTAGGTGCAAGACATTAACCTTTTCCCAGGGATTGTGCAGATACTCCAATTCTTGTTGACACTAATACAAAGTCTCATTTCAGTTGTTTTGAAGTTTGTGTGTAGAGCTTTTGGGCTCGTGGGCATTCTTTATCTTCTTACCATAAATCATGTGCGATCAAAACAGGCATTGATGGTCAATCTGGTCGGCCCGTTGAAAGGTATTCACTCTTCAGATCAAGTGGAACAAACCAACCACTCATGTACTTTTTGGGGGTTGAATAAATGAATCTTGAAATCGTGTCTGAAGTGGGATACAAGATTTTTCAGATATTTGTCTGGTTTCGGTTATGGTGAAACTTGATTTTTAGGCGTATCATGTTTACTCGAACAAAATCTTGTACAGATGATAATTCCATATGGAGATAGTTCATTACAGTTGAAAAGGAACCTATGAGATCTATTCATAACTGAAATGTGGGTTTATGATGTCATGAGTCGTGGAGGTGATCTGTTTACTAAATAACTGTTGGGCCCGAGAAGCCCATGAAGATTATAAAATTAATAATTCCATAAAAATTTATAGAATAATAATCTGTAGGTTGGAATGGAAAATTCAAAATTGGATATGATCGAGTATTTCCGATTCATGCTTTGGACCGGAGAGGGGGACTACAAACGCAACCTTTCTTTATTCTCCCCTTTCTCTCAAACATTCTTCATCCTCCTTTTTTTTTTTTTTTGCAAATTCAATCGTCGTCATCTTCTTTCCCTCTTTTGGTTCGAGAGGGAAACAGGAAGAAGAAAAGGTGATCTTTTTTTTTTTGGAGCGCCATGGGCCAAGCTTTCGGTAGGCTTTTCGATACCTTATTTGGCAATTCGGAGATGAGGGTACGTTTCCTTTTTCTTTTTTTAAATTCCCGTGTTTGTGCGTGTGCTTGTATCATGTATGGAAAGTTTCGATCTTTTTCCTGAGGTTGACCTGTGATTGATTTTTATGGGGTTTATCGGTGGATTCTCGTGTTGCCCAGCTTGATTTTTGTTGGGCTTTGATCGTAACTCCATCATATGATTATGGTTTAAGTTGATTGTTTGCCATATGTTTTCCCATTTTATTCGTTCATTCTTGAAAAGATTGCCTTTCGCTTTCCATTTCTTTGTTTCTTACAGCAGCTACGCGTTTGAGGTCCCAATCCTCTTGTATTTGTAGTCAGATACCTGATTTAAACGCAACTAAGGTTACATGAAGAAGATACCATCTTGTAATTTGGCTTTTATTTAGGTGCGTCAAGTTAAACAAAATCTGGTACACCACCCAGCCTGCTGATTTGATGATAATTGCATATGGAGATTTTTTCATTACAGTTGATGGTTGGTTTTCCTAGTTGGAGGATCTTTTCTTGTCTCTCCTCCTTTTTTTCATGGCTACTGCTCTTGCCTTCCACCTTATGAATTATGATTGAACAGACAACTTTGATAATCTTGCTCTTATCCTTTGGTACTTGCGTTGCTGCTCCTGGTTCTGTTTAGTGTCCATCTAGTTATGTGAGAAATCTACGTGGTTTAGTTTCTCATTGTGCTCCTTGTGACATGAAAAGGGAAGTGATCTGATTTTGGTTATTCTCTTTTTTATTTGTTGTGTGTGTTCTCTTGGAGATGCCAGGTTGTTATGCTGGGGCTGGATGCAGCTGGCAAAACAACAATCTTGTACAAGCTGCACATAGGAGAAGTTTTGTCAACTGTTCCCACCATCGGTATGTCAGACTGCTTAATATGTTAATCTTGCAATTGTTTTGTGTTACAGAACTCAGCCTATGATATTATATCATGTCTGCTGAGTTCATACAAATATCATAAACACACTGATAAACCCTTTATAGGGCGAGGTTTGGTGATTTTGGGTTGTGTTCTGTGTTTTGTTATTTTAGAATATCGTATCGTTGTTTTTGTAACTGTCCAGACAGCATCTCTCGCTATAAAAGGAGAGCATTGCAGTATTAACTAAGCATCACTAGAGTTTATGAGAAAAGTGGTAGATCGAATACACGTCAAATCATATTCAACAGAATCCTAACACCATAAATCCTCAAGCAGTTTATCACACACCCATAATTTTGTTATGTAATGCAATCATGACAAAGATGTTTTATTCCTTCTTTTTTTTCCTTTTTCGTCTGAATGGTCATTTTTTTGTCCAACACATGCTGGGTTTGGACTTTCTTACAGGTTTCAATGTTGAGAAAGTTCAGTACAAGAATGTGATGTTCACAGTTTGGGATGTCGGTGGCCAAGAGAAACTGAGGCCCCTTTGGAGGCATTACTTCAATAATACCGATGGACTTGTATGCCTCTTTTTCTTCTGCCCCTGTTTTTATTTACAATTGACTCGTCAGTAGCGCGGTTTTCGTGTTGCATATAATTCTTACATTCCGTTGTGAAAGATCAGATTTAGGCAACTTGTTTGTATACTTCATTGTTAAAGCAGTCTCTGTTTATCACCAGTGATCAACCTCGAGGAATTTAGTCTACTATATCCACTGCTGTATTAATTACTGATCAATGATGTGCAGATATATGTAGTAGACTCCTTGGACCGAGAGAGGATTGGGAAAGCGAAGCAAGAATTCCAGGTTGTACCTTAAAATTGCTGAATCCCTTTAAGTAAAATCATCTGAAGTAGTTTCTTTCCTCTGATTGTTGATTGATTGATTTCATCAGACCATCATAAAAGACCCGTTCATGCTCAACAGTGTCATTCTGGTATTCGCAAACAAGCAGGACATGGTATGATTCCTTCCACCTCGGGGTTTATTCCTTTTTCGAGTTTTTCATTCATGTTTACGGATTCCTGAACCCGTAATGCATCAGAAAGGAGCGATGACACCGAGGGAAGTATGCGAAGGGTTAGGTTTGTTTGATATCAAGAACAGGAAATGGCATATACAAGGAGCATGTGCTATTAGTGGAGACGGCCTCTACGAGGGCTTGGACTGGTTAGCCTCGACGCTCAAGGAGGTCAAAGCTTCTGGATACTCGTCGATTATTCCCTCGTTTTGATCTTTTCAGGTAGGAAAAAAACGAGAAAGATTCGAGCTTATTCATTTATATTCAATCTCATATTGTGTTCCTCCCCCGTTTCTCATCCCTGGCAGGTAATATATGCACTTGATCGATCCACTGCTGAAACACTTCATTTCGGCTTATACAATATGGTAATCAATCAAAAAATGTGTAGAAACTGTCATTGGTTCTGAAAGCTAAATCTAGTGGTTGTATCGATAGGGCTCTTCCATCTATGGGAACTCTTGTATATTATGTTGGTGAAATGTATCTCTCACCTTGAAACTAGCTGCATGAATGCTGTCTGAGAATTCCCTTGCATCATCCCCCTGATTGTGCGGGGAAAAAAAGAGTCTATAGTGATTTTTTTTTTAAAAATGTTTATTAGACCAGACCCAAAAACAAAAAGCAAGGAAGAAAAAGGGATCTCAATGAAGTGAATGGTTGATGAGGTTGAGACGAAGACGGAGGAAGCAACAAACCAGTTCAGTTCAGCCAATAAGATTGCCTGGCAATGTCTGCAATGCGGTTCGGTTGCTCTTTATGGAGAGTTCCTTCACCATCTTCGTCAGTTGCCTTAGGCTCACGTCCTTCAACCTCTCTTCGTTAAGCTCGCTTTTCTTCTTCTTTTTCGGCATCTCTGCCTTGTTTTCGTCGTCAGCGAGGATGGACAGTTTCAGAGCCGACGAAGACTCTTGTTTTTTCTTGCTTGAAGACTGGACTGGTGTCGTTGTTGAAAGCGTCGGTCTTGGAAACTGGCCCGAGACTGATTCTGCTGCAAATGGAGACACTGGAAGAGGAGACATGTTAACGGCAGATCCCCCTGTCTTGTTTTCTTCGAGGTTTTTGTCCTCTCCTGATTCAGAATCTTCCAGTTCTTCGCCCAAAACAGCAGTGTTTGAATCTGCATCAGAGATGATATCTTCCTCTTCCGAGTCGCTTTCATCAGATTCAGAAGACTCACTACTGCTGTCTGCCTCCAATGTATCAACTGTTAGGCTCTTTAGAACTGAGCCCCCCGCACAGCCAGCAGCATCAGACTTGAACACCGTTTGGTTTGAATCCACGCCGGTATTATCTTCCTCTGATTCTGAATCATCACTGTAACTGTTACTTTGTTCAGACTCAGAGTCCTCGTCATCAGCGTTGATGTTCATTTGCTTATCATCTTCACTCAAGGGAGAATCCAGGGTTTCTTTGCAGGTCTCCATCTTGTCATCATCATCTGATCCTCTAGTCATATCTTTTTCATTCGTTTTCTCATGGTCTATAGGCCCTTCCTTGAATTCAGAGTCCAGGATTTCTTTGCAGGTCATCACAGGGCTTGTGGCAGAAGCTGGATGACCTAACACCTCGGAATCCTCGTCCTGAATCGTCTTTTGGGAAGAATAGAGGGATTTAGCCTGTGGTGATCCATTGTCTTCAACTTGGATGGAACTATCGAAAGCTTGAGTAATCTCAGATTCTGCAAAAATTGCATCAACACTTAGAGTTTGTGAACATGAGAGATAATATGCTTTCAAGTAGAGCAACCAATGTAAATTGGTAAGCGCACCTCTTTTTTCTGGTTGAGTTTCCTCTTTGTCACCTCCCTGACAAATGTCAAGCTCATTCATATTCCCGTTGTAGGTCTCGGATTTCACATTGAAGGCAGAAAGATCAACACGATCTTCTGATTCAGGCTTTACAGAATCCGGATCATGGTCAATAGTGCCATTGTTATCCTCGAGGCCTTCATCTCTCGCATCCCATTCTTTCTCCAGTGTCGCACTTAAATCTCTTCCTTGGTTAACTTCAGGCTCTTCAGTTCTTTCTGAATTATCATCTGATTTTCCCTGGAACTCAAAACCTGCATATACCACAGAACCTGATTACATACACATTATGAATTTTCTAAATAAAGGAAACGATAGAGCCCTTCTGTTCTATCTCATCCCTTGCAATAATCAAGAACTAAGCACAGTAGTGGCATACCAGCTGGTTCCTTCTCCTGTGTCGCTTTTTCCTTCTCTGTGTCATTGTGCTCCACAGGTTCGTCCAGATCTTCTTTAGGCTTCAAACTCAAGTCAGCCATGCATTTTTCTAACAACCTGACTGACCTTCTCGTGCTGTAAACCTTCTGAACAGACACATTCTCCTTAGTCTCCAGTGCCTTGCTTCCCAGAGATGATGGTGGCAGAGCCTTCCTTCTAGTGCTTTGTGCAGCTGGAGTTTTTGGCACATTAGCTTCAAGCTTGACATCACTTTCACGTACTTCTGCACTCAGCAGCGCATTCATGTTACTGTTTTCCTGGTCCATTTCTCCAGCAAGTGACTTTCTTGTCACACGGCAAGAGCGAGTCATCGACTGTGAAGTTTGGGTTGCATCTTTTTTAGCCGTCCTTCGTGTGGTTCTAGTTGCCGTACGAGCAGTAATTGCCACACTGGATGGAGATAGGGGAGCAGCGGGCTCCGTTTGGTTCAGGAACTCTTCGAGTCCTTCAACCTAGGGAGTGAATCAGAAAGAAGTTATGACCTTTCGTTCCAAAAAATATCAGTTAGATTTCACAAACATGCAGGACACGAAACTCTATTCAGGGTCTAGATCTAAAGAAATTCAGTCATAGTAACTTTGAAAAATAGAATGACACCAACTCCTGAACCACAACCTTGAACCTACCAAAAACATGTAGATCTATGCGGTAAAACCAAATCACTAACTATTACGGACAAATGTTACAGAATCAATCCACCACTTTTGGATACAGAATCAATCAAGAATTGCAAGTGTCACATTGAGATATTCGTATAGATACACCACAGTAACAATCAATAAGAACCACCGAGCTGATCTATGCAACACAAACGAAGGTAATCGACCAGCAATGACAGGGAAATTTGAGACCCTGGCCAAGATTAACCGCAGAAGGCATTTGGATCTCGCTTTGTTAAATAGATCCACGTCAGGATCGACCAGAACCTTTCACATTTTGATAATCAAACACTATCAGCAGAATCGATTTAATGCTCCGAGCACATGCTCAACACAGAAGTAGCAATACCTCTTTAAGCAACTATATTTTTTTTTCTGAGATCTCGGCTATTTTGACAGTACCTCAAGTTACAGGACCACAATTTTACACAATCTACAAAGTACAGAAACTGAATCGTTCAAATACTATAAAGGACGCATCAGTGTAGAATAAGGAAAAATTCAATGAAAAAACTTACAATCTCAAGAGCTTTGAGAGCATCGGCCATGGCAACGTTGGTAATGTTGGCCGGAATTTTGTTCTTCTTGCAGAGAGATTGGAGATCTCTTCTCGGAAGGCTGTGGAAATCCATCTCGGGGAAATTGAGGGAAAAGTTTCGGCTGGTTGCTGTTTGGATGGAGAGAAAATGAGAGAAAAACAAGATGTTTCTGCTACCGTTTCGAGGCTCTCAGGACATGGTTATATATACGTCTGAACGGAGGAGAAACCCTAGAAACATGACCGTTGGAGCGGAGGTTTGAAATTTGAATGTACACGCTCCGAATTTTTTTTATTATTTTTTCCTCCCCATTTTGGGAATTATACAGTTTATACTGGTATGGGTTTGTAGCCCATGGGCTTTTAAAAAAACTTAAAGCCTAAAGCTTGTAACTGGGCTTCTACACAGCCTAGGATATGAAAAACGTAAAAAACGCGCTTATTGAAGCGCGTGAGCCATCCGCGCGTGTAAATGCGCCCGGCGCTACTCGCCATCACCGTCCGGAGGAGAGAGAGGAAGGGGGAGAGAGAGAGAGACGGTGGAGAGAGAGAAAGAAGAGGGGGTAGGCGGAGGTTTTAGAGAGAGAAACTCGTTGAAGAAGGCGAACCAGACCTTCCATTCGGTGGAAACCATAGGATTGACTTGTTACCGATCCCTCCGCTTCAGTTGGTCTTGGATCCGGCGGATGAGCTGTTTTCCCGGCAGATTAATACACGAACGAAGAAGAGATTGCTTTTTGGGAGAATGGTAGATATTTGTGGCGTGTTGGTCGTAAAAGCAGAACAGAAACAGTGATCTTGACCATTGGTAGGCAGATAGAGAAAGTGAGAAAGAGACGGAGATAGAGAGAGAGGGAGAGAGAGAGATGGGTAGTCCAAGATCAGGTCCGGCTGATTGCACGGTGGGTTCGATCGTATGGGTGCGAAGGAGGAACGGCTCATGGTGGCCGGGGAAGATACTGGGCCCAAAAGAACTTGACGCAACTCATCTCACATCTCCGCGATCCGGGACGCCGGTGAAGCTCCTTGGCAGAGAAGATGCAAGTGTGTAAGTCTCCCTTTCTGCTTCTTCTCCTGTTTGATTATGCGACTATTTGATTTGGCTTCAGTTTCAGATTGAAGTATCGATCCGTAGATTGTTTTCAAGATGTGGACTGATGGTTTTCTAAGATATTGTCACTAGTCCATTGCTGCTGCTGCTTATACGAATTACTTTAAAATGGTTTCAAATGCTCTAGGAATTTTCTTAGGTATGTAGTGGTGTCTGATGCCTTATGGTGTTTTACTCTTTTTCCATGTCTTAATGGAGGTGGAGGAAGATGGAAATCTGACCCATATCTGACTTTTGTGTAAATGATTAAGCAACTTGGATTCAGTTTTGTGGATGATCTTTACCTTACTAAGGCTTGCATGGTGATCCAAAAAGTTATTTTCATCATTCTTGAAGTAACTGTAGCTACTGTAGTTCAAGTTTCACAGATTGTTATCTTGTTGGACATTTTATCCTGTCTCATAGCTTATTGTTACAGTTGCTTACAGTTGCCTAGCTTATGGAACATGAAGGGGATGCTTGGTCATGAGAAATAATTATGTTGTTCTAGCAGTATTATCTTCTATTGTCTCGAGTACGGAATTCTTGTTCAGACGAGTGATGGTTATTTTGGATGAGTTTATCTGTTAATGCGTCAGTTGTGTGGATAGATACTTGCTGGATAAGACGTGTCTGTGTCGTGTTTATAATTCCTGTTGATAGGTAATAATATTTTCTAAATTATTTTTTAGGGATTGGTACAATTTAGAGAAGTCCAAGCGTGTCAAAGCCTTTCGGTGTGGTGATTTTGATGAGTGCATTGAGAGGGTGGAATCTGCACAAGGGTTGCCAATAAGAAAAAGAGAGAAATATGCCCGGCGAGAAGATGCTATTATCCATGCTCTTGAACTCGAGAAAGAAATGCTGAAAAAGGAAGGGAAATTTGTTACGGAAAAGGTTAGAAATAAGTCTCCTGATGCAAAGAAAGAGAGGTTAGTCGTCTCTGGGGATCAAGACATCTGTAATAGAAAACAAGAATCCATTGGATGTTTAAGATCAAACCATGTTGGTGATGGTCTTTATTCGCAAAAAGAGAAAGAGGAAAATCGGCCAGATTGTGAGGATGATCATATTGAAGCTGCGACTCGGATGAGAGGATTGCAAGACCTGGTGCTTAGAACTTCATCTTCAAAGCGAAAGTTGCCATGTTCTAATGGTCCTATTACTTCGTCAAAGTCTGTGGCAAGCGGTAACTCTCCAGCTTCTTCTAGTGGAGACCATAGCGTGGACAGGTCCAATTATGCCCTTGGTAAGATGCTTTGTAGAAGGTCTTGGTAAGTTTGAGTGTATAATTCTAGATGGAGTTGATTTGAGTCATCTTCAAGCATTTTGGGTTACAGCACATTAAAAGCTCTCCGAACTCACCTCAATGCTCCTCGACATAAAATCATGGTGCTGTTTTGGCTTCTGTTCAGGAAAGGAGCACATCGGGAGTAAATTCCAGAACAAAAGGCCCAGATATATGTTTGCATCAGCTGAGTCTAATGATGCTTTAGACTTACATAACAGTTTGCTAAGTGAGAGGAAGATGATGCAATCCTCATTTACTGGTGATGGTTTCCATCATTTGCTTTCAGAAGAGGACCCCCCTGAATTTTTAGAAGATATCGGATCCGATTCCTCTGAATCTGATACTGATTCTTCTGATACAGAGGAGGATACGGATGACAATATACCCATGTTTTCAGGTGGAAATGTTTTTAATCCCTTGCTCTCAGTTTTTTTTTTTTGTTTTTTGGCAGTTTAAGACTAATTTCTTATTTTCGCCAAAATGTTTCACTTTTGGAGAAGTTTTATGTTTTCTAATGTGTCTCTTCTGCTTTTGAGCTACTTTGTGTTTGTTTTTTGTTTAGAGCTCTGTGCTCTTTGGGTCCTATAGTCGCCAAATATTTGCTAACTAGTGTTAAAATTCTCTCTTTCCAGGTACTGGGCAACATTCAGAACGCATCCAAAGTGCTTTTATTAGACATATGACAGCAGAAGATGAAATCACGAGCAGTGAGGATCACGATGTGTCATCCTTTTCTGGTGGCTCTTCTTACTTCTATCCTCCCAATCATGATTTTGGCAATGAAGCTGTTTCTAAATGGCGGCTCAAAGGAAAAAGAAATGTCCGTAACCTTCCAAGAAGGTCTACGGGTAAAACCGGTCGATTTGAACATGGGACATATCGTGATCTAAAGAAAAAAGCATTTGACCAAAAGTCACTCGGGTATGGTTTGGATTTTGATGGGGCAAATGATACGAGTGATGGAACCGAAGACACTGACCCCCACGAGAGGGAGTTTGGGATCAAAATGATTGGACTATCTGACGAGGGTTGTCTTCCTTCAAAGAGGACTGCATCTAGATGCAGGAACATATTCAACAATGACATGCTTGACTGGGATAGTGATCCTTGGGAAGGCCGGTCTGGTACAAAAAGGGACTGGGAAGAAAAAATTGAGGGTGTCGGACTGGAGTTTGATGCTTCCCGGCAGTTTGGTGAGAAAATGCATTACCGGTTGATAGATGTGGATGTAGAAGTACAAGGAAGCTATCAGAGAGGGCCTGTCTCCATCATCTCCCTCGTGAGCAAGTTGGATGGAAGGGCGATAATAGGGCATCCGATTGAAGTTGAATTCTTAGATGGTTCATCTGAGACATATTTACAGACTGTTGATTACTTTGGAAACGAAACAACACACCGTGACAAACCTTTCATACTTCCCCCTACATGGAAGACAGCCAGAAGGAGCAGTTCACGGGTTCCACGGCTGCATCCATTCTCATCGCTAGAAGTCGACGATTCTTTGCCAGATCAGGGTAGAAAACCACTGGTTAAGAAATCAAGTTTGAGAAACTTTGGCGGTGATGCTAACACACTAAGGAGAAGCGAAATGGGCATACCCCGAGCACCTAAAGAGAGAAGGCAGCAGCAGAAGAAGCAGATAAAGAAAACAAGTGCATCATCAGCTATTCAAAAGATGAGGGCACTCTCATCATTTGGCAGCGAACAAGGGTACGGGGTGAAGCCATTATGTGACAAAAGCGGTATTAACTCACAGATGCTCGATCTCTCTAACAGGCAGGTATTAGCAGGGCCACCCACAGTGGCCTGCATACCGATTAAATTAGTATTCAGTAGATTACTTGAGAAGATAAACAGGCCGCCATCAAAACCAGCTGCAATGAAAATGGGTATTCCGGGTAGTAGTGAGAGAAGAAGAGATTAAAGCATAGGGAGTGACACTGTGCAGTTCACTTGCAGGTACAGACATGGCCACATTTCTCTTAACTATCAAGTTTCCTTCATAGGCTGAGAGAATCTCACCTGTAGGGGGATGGAATAGGGTGATGGATCTTTTTGGGCATCATCCAGTTTTAGTTGTAGGAAGAACAGTTTACATAGAGAGAGAAGGGTTACTGGTACAGAAGGGGAAATCACAAGCAAGCATGTATTGCATTCATATACATAACAGCAATTGTTCATTTTATTACCACAACAGGAGTCTCTCTTTGCAGCCATATATATGTTCATGTGTCTCTGTTTTTACATCTACAAACAAAGTCCCTAAACGTTGTAACCTCCAATATCCCCCACAATGTTGTAAATTTAAGAGCTTTTTTGCAAATTTCTTCAAATGTTTGGACATAGATTTTACAGTTTATCATACATACATATATATATATATATATATATATATATATATTGCAAATTTCTTCCATCCGGTCATGTGAGTCGAACACCATATTGAACACAATAACTTTGTTGGTAGATATAGCAAATGTATATATTTAATACATTAAATATTTCTTTTTAAAATTTTCAAAATGCCCAAAAGGTTTAAAAAATAACGATGAAAAAAAACACTTGAAAAAAGGTTTAAAAATATAGGCCCAAAAAGCCCAATTAAAAAAGGCCCATTAAGTATCCTAAACAGACGCAAAGCAATACACGTATTGGGTATTGTACACCTCTCTGCCACGTGCTTCACGTGCGTATGGTACACCTCACTTCATTACCACACGGTTCTTTCATCCTTTTACTTTTAGTTACAAAAGCTCCTTTCTTCCAATCCAAATTCCATGACAACCCAAAATCAAACTCAGACCTAATTCTCCCTCAGTGTTTGATTTGACCTAGATAGGTTCCGTATTTTGCGGCGAAAGATGGCGCTTGAGTGGGTTGTGTTGGGCTACGCAGCTGCGGCGGAGGCGATCATGGTGGTTCTGTTGACCTTGCCGGGTCTCGACGGTCTCCGCAAGGGATTGGTCGCCGTCACTCGCAATCTTCTGAAGCCGTTCCTCTCCGTCGTTCCGTTCTGTCTCTTCCTCCTCATGGACATCTACTGGAAGTACGAGACGCGTCCTTCGTGCGACGGCGAGTCCTGCACTCCGACGGAGAATCTCCGTCACCAGAAATCCATCATGAAGTCTCAGAGAAACGCGCTCTTGATCGCCGCCGCGTTGTTGTTCTACTGGATTCTGTATTCCGTTACTCATCTGGTCGTCAGAATCGACCAGCTTAACCAGCGGCTCGAGAGGCTTAAGAACAAGGATTAGATCGCGATTCTCAGGTTCCATTTGCTGTAATACCTTTTTCTAAATTTCAATGTCGTTCTGTATTCCCTCGTCTCGTTACGCCTTTTCGTGCTTGTTTACCTCGTTTTAATGTTGCTTCTGTTTCCTGGAGATCGAAGGATATATAATACAAGTGCTTTTGCCTTATCTAATCCATGTCCGGTACAGTGTTGTCTCTCTTGTCGTGTGATCGACCCATCATCATGTCCAGTGGAGATACATTGATTGATTGATGAAATTGAAGATTGAGTTGATAACCTACAATAGCTTGCAGGTTACAGAATCAACTTTTCATCAGTTGGTTAACTCTGGTTTGAGATATCAGATGGCAATGGAAATCGTCTGTTGGATGCAATGCCTATGCTGCATCTGAATTCTGCTCGAAACCATCTTCAGATTGTACATATGATTCTGTCATAAACAGTGAATTAACCTATGGGAAAGAAACTTGGATCCTTTTGTACTAACATTTCGTTTACTTCTCCATGTATGCATCTATCTATCACCATTCATGTGGAACACCGATCCTCGTACGGTAAAAATTGGTAAGATGGATCATCCTGATCAAGGTTTGATGCCTTATTTTTGCAAAAGATTGAAACGCAAACATGTCTCTTTATTCAAAAATCTCAATCTGACTTAAAGGGGATTCATATTGCAGCGTCAGGAATTTCGGTTGCTGTAAAGAGACAACTCGGGTTTATCCTGATGCCCCCCCAAATATCAAATTGTTCTCGGACACAGAGTGGAAGAGTTCATTGCTTCAACTGAAAAGAAAATAAGGTACATCGATTTCTCTCTACGGGCGACGAAATCTAATAAACTAAGCCCCGAAACCGAGAAAGCTTGATCAGATCTATCAGGTGCTCAGACAAGCCAGAGGCTGAACTGAAGAAAAGATCCCATGAGCATTGTTACAAACTGAATAGATCTTGTTGCCTGGAACTGCCGGTTTCATCACCACGCTGTTCATCACTATGTCCGTACATCCGAGGTTACTGTTACAAATGAGTTGAATAGCTTCCTCGTTCGCAGAAGTACCATGCACATTATCGTACCGCACACCGCTGACTCGAACTCCACCCTTACCCTGTTTATGGATGAAATGTACCTTTTTTTAACATTGTGTAACTAATCAAATAAATATTTTTTATAAATGTGATTTTGCTCATTTACTTACTCCTTTGTTGCCGTTTGATGCGTAGAATTGGTCGACGATGATAGGGTTCTGTGAGGCTTCAACGTGGATGTCCTTGAATGAAATCTTCCGGGCATATCCCGAACCACCCTGTGAAAGAAGAAGATCGTATAAAAAAGGTAAGACATTGTTGGTTATAGATTTTTTTTAAAAACTTTTCATGTGACATTCAGCTTGGTGGATCACCTGAAAAGTCTTGATTCTCACACCATTCGTTGTGTTAGTCAAAGTGCAATTCTTCACCGTCACTTCCTCTACAGCTGCATAAGATCCATGCGCTCCCAGGCTTCCAACGCTGTTTGTATCAAACCATATGGTCAGTATCAAATTCTGGGTTTGATTTCTCAATCACATGCAAATTTCTTTATTTATAAAGATCGTTTTCGGGATTATATAATAATGAGAAGAAAAAAATTTGTCATCACCTGATGCCATGTCCAGGTCCACAGAAGATGCGACTGATGTTGATAAAAGATGAACCAGTATTGATGGCTATACAATCATCGCCGGTGGCTATCGTGGAATCATGAATGTTAACTCCTCGACTGCTCGATATGTCGATACCGTCTGTGTTCGGGCTGTCCTCCGGCGCCGTTATACTGAGTTTCCACACGTTCACGTTCTTCGAGTCGTTTATACCTATATGATTCCTCGGGCTGTTCAGGTGCCGAAGCTGAGACAATCTGAGACCGTCGCATTTGTGGAAATGCAATGCCTGCCCGCAAATATACGTATCAGTACGGATAAACCACTACGTATACGTATACGCGTAGGTCGAGTAAACGTATAGACTTACTGAAGGACGGTCTTGTACTTTCCCCCACCAGTAAGAGCCTTGACCGTCGATCAAGCCGCCGCCCGTGACAATAAGTCCGGCGACATTATCGAAACCAATCCATGAACCGTATCTTCTCACGTCCCATGTGTATGGCGGTGCCACGAGGTGACCCTTTATCTGAAATTATTACAGACATGATTGAATACAGATTTCAGCGCATATATATATATATAAGAGCATATATTATAAACGGGGACATGAATGAAATACGATAAAAATCGGAAACGTTACAAGTACCACAACAGAGACAGGGGTTTTGCATGGACCGCCGAAGGTGAGAGGCTTAAGCATGAATGTTTTCCAATGAGGCACGAGTAACGTTGATTGGCCACTCCCTCCCTTGCAGACAGCTTCCCATGCCCTCAGAAAAGCCTTTATCACAAAAAAAGGATTACGTATAATTAAACCCTAATTCATACGAACAACTACAAAGAAATCAAACACACATACACTATACATATATATGTGTATGTATATGGATTACGTACCTGAGAATCATCGGTCTTGCCATCGCCGACAGCACCAAAGCTAAGGACATTGGCGAACTTGCTTGTCGCCTCGAAGCCGTACTCCTGAGCTTCCGTACAGAAACCCGGTTTGATTATTTGAATAAAGCATAGTAATAACCCTAGAAAAAGAGATAACTTCTCCATCGTCAAAAAGAAGGCTGTGTACAAATCCTAAGCACAAACTTTTTTTTTTTTGTTGCAAAAATGGTGAGTGTGAAATGCAATCATATTGCACGGTTTTATATGTTAAAAAAAATTCCGGTAAACTATTCGGAAATGGAATTTTTGTTGACAAAGGGTATTAAATCGTAGTGAAATCGGAACATGTCTTATTTAACTTAACGAAATATAATTTGTAATAAATTCCAATTGATACACTCGATATCGTTATATTCGTTATATGGGAAACTGCCATATTATTACGTAAGATAACATATTTCCATGTCATTTGCCCTTACATTTCTTAGCTTAACAAAAATAGGATTATAATAATAATAATAACCGAGATTAAGATTAGTTTTTTTTGGTAGTTCTTTTGGTTTTCCAAATTAAAAAATTGATATTGTCAGATTAAAAAAAATGAAAAATATTTTAATTTGGGTTTAATGCAGATTTTTTTCTAAAAAAAAGCAGGAATTAAAGAAGGTAATAAAACCACTGATTTCGGTATGCAATGTCAGATTTTCGGCAACCCAATAAATCGTCGTAAAGAACGCGACGTCTCGGGTTTGATATAGGAAAAAATTAAGGAACCGAACAAATATTCCAAAATCTTTATTAAAAAAAATGGCATATTAATACTTTTTTATGTGCATAATTAGTTGGCTATCTTATATGCGCTTAAAGAAATAAACATAAATCTATGGTATTAATACGATTTTATAAGATTGGTGATTACTCTCATCATTACTCCGATTCAAATCATGAATGCGTGAATTTTCAACCATAAATACATATTTGTCTGACATATTAATTGTCATCGAATCCATCACATATGTTTTAATCACATAGTTTACTTCCAACTCCAAAATTAGTTTGGGTCTCGTTTCGCAACACCCGATTACCCAAAAAAAAATCGCATGTATTTTATTGGGCAATTTCGGTATGTTGATGTTTTGTTTATACGTTTAGATGAAGGTTAATTCTCCTACCAGATCTTGAAAATATTACGACCCATCTGTAATTTTGTAATGTTTGTTTTATGTTATAAAAATTACTCTATATAGAACAATTGCATATAAAACTTTATAGTAGAAGTATACAGTATGTTTATTACAAAGTTTACATAAAAAAAATGTTTATTACAAAGTCCATCCATATGGTACAGTTGCATCCTCGCCTTAATCTAAAACAATTGAAAAGTACTAAAATAACAATTTCTGAATTATAAGAAGACTAACAATAAAAATGGATAGTATATGTATATGTCATATATATATATATATATTATATATATATATATATATAGGATAAAAAAACAATGATTGAGATTAGAAAAACACTCTAATGCTCATGTAATATTGATGTGCAATTAAGTGAACCTTTGACAGTCTCGCCTTTGCACTTCGTTTGATCTTGTCGAACAAAGAATCTGAGTAATCTTCGGACAATGCCCTCCTTTCTTCCAAACGATCATCCAAAGCATTGATTTGAACTTTCAATGTCTCGGAAGGTACGATCTGATGGAACAGAGTCTCGGTCGCTTGACGCGTCGCGATGAACATTCCATGGTTAACCTTGATCTCTTCTTCCACCATTTCAAAGCTCGACGAGATTAGGGTTTCGTTTGTATTAATGGCCGCATCGACCTCTCCTACTTGTTTCTCGTCTTTGACGTGATAGATTTCGAAGGAGAGATAATCTTCGATGTCAATGTTGCTGTTGATGGCATTGCATCGAGATTCACCTGCGAAATTAAGCCGATCGAGTAGTCATTCATTAGATGTATCCAAAGTATGATAATATCATAACATATAGATATGGACATGGACAACATGTCTTGAACTTTGAATATGATCATCTTGCTTACCATCGAATTCATTATTATCTTCGAAATTTGGCATAATCTTATGTTCTTCGACGAAATCCTGTTTCAAAATGTAAAATGAATCAATGCTAATTCATAAAAGAAAACTGTGAAAATGGTAAGATTAAGCTATTGGAAGAAAGTAGGAAACATACATGGTGGTTGGTATCATTGTTCGGCGTTCTCATCCACCTCGAGTTCTCGGCATTGAATCCATCATCTAGATTTCCGAAAACGGGTATGAACGGATCGTTGTTATAGTGATTGAAATTACTCGTGGCGAAAGTAAAGTCCTCGAAGCCGTGATCATTGTTTTGATTCACTTTGAAGTATTCGTTTGTTTGAGGGGAGCTTTCTATTCGCAATGGTGGCAATGACATCTGGTGTTGCAGCATTGCACATTCGATCTCGGAATTAACCTGCATCGATCATATTAGACATTAATCATGGTTTAGATCAACAAAATCTATATATCTAATTTCATAAGACATGTATATTAATCTACCTTGGACAGAGGGGGATATGGATCGTATGAAGATCCATGGTTTGGTAAAGGAAAAGCCTCTTGAGGCAAATATCTTGCCCAATCATCATCTCTCCCTCCACCGAATTGGTGGTAAGGCTGAATCTGATGTGTTGAACTGTCTGGATAGGAACAAACGTCGAGATTCGACGAACAATCACCGATCATCGCCCTCGTATGCACGTAAGAACTCATTTCCCTCGGCTTCCCCTCAATCACAATTTTCTTGGACACACGACAAAGTGCATACGCGTCCTGAAAATGGATACAAACCAACATATGAATACGATAATTAGATGTATTCCTAGGATGTTTTTTTTTACACTAAGGATGTTAGTTACAACTACTGTCTAATTCATTGTCAGTACCAGCATGCCTAGAGCTGAAAGCTCGCATTCAGTTTCATCGAGGCGGTATTCATGCATGATCCAGCCGGTTCTGATACCATGAGGTGCACGTCCACGGTAGTAAACCAAGGTCTTCTTTGTCCCGATAGCTCGGTTTCTCCAACTCACTCGTCGATCTTTGCCCGTCGCCTTCCAGTAACCGCCTTTGGTGGCACGGTTCGTCCTCGAACCGTTTGGATACTTCCTGTCCCTCGGGCTGAAGAAGTACCATTCTTGATCTTTGCTTGGAAGCAACGATTTTCCTGCGATTTAGAGGAGAATTCTTGACATGGGTTAGGGTTGTTTCCAGCTGAGAGCTCTCGTTTGTAGTGGAATATTGTATTTTTTATATATATTTATCTCGAACAAGCCAATCTAAAGATGCAAACTCTAAAAATTACAAAAGATTAATTTACCAAAAAAAAATTACAAGAAGATTATATACAGTCATGTCGTATAATATTAGGGTTTTCTTCCTCTTTATGATATTCTTATTCTTTTCTTCAAACTCCCGTGAATGATGATGGTTCAGAGTTATTAACACCAAACGAGAATCAAATAATTGGTCATATGTATGTATGTATGTATGTATGTATGTATGTATGTATGTATGTATGTATGTATGTATGTATGTATGTATGTATGTATGTATGTATGTATGTATGTATATAATGTGGAGTGACAGGAGGAATCACATTACCTGGCAAGTCCCATGGCTCGCACTTGTAGAGATCAACTTCAGGGATGATGTCCAAATCGATCTCCCGACCGTTGATCTTTCTTTTGAGATAATAAGTGATCAGTTCCTCGTCCGTCGGATGAAACCGGAAACCAGGAGGCAATGAAACTGCAGCCATATGTATCCCCTTTACGTGATGCAAAGTTGACGATCTGTACAAATCAACGATCGGTCTTGTTTCTTTACGTACGAAAATGAACAAAACCGGCCGTCTAAGAACGAACAAGGAAAGCCGACGCAGAACGAGCAAAAGGGTTGACGAAGATTATGGAGAACGAAGAAGGCGAAGAGAAAATATGCGAGACTCCAAAAGGAACAAAAGAGAAAGACAGAACAAATGTTTGTGTGGGAAAGGTATATATAAAGGGTAATTAACATGACAAAAAAATGCCACGAAAAAAGATGGTCGAAAGGTGTATGGAGCCCTTAATTTTAATAAGTGTACAAAAAAAAATCATTTTCATAATCTTTATGACACATCATATCATATGCTGATTCTCGCCTATCTTTTTCTCCAAGTTATATGTAATTTGGGTCTAGAAATATAAAACCGACCGACTCATTAGAGTCCGAATAAAATTTATGTTTTTTTATAACTGAGTATTGTGGGCCGAAGCCCAAACTAATTTCGGGATCGGGAGTCAGCCATGTGATTTGAATTATATGCTCTTTCCCCAACTTGAGACTTAAACTCGGGACGGGACAGACGTTTTGCGTCTCATTTCACCGGTTGAGCTATCCAAATTGGGTCCGAATAAAATTATCGGAAGCTATCTAATCATTATTTTGGTGTAATCATAATATATGGTAATAAAATGATTACGAGAATTCCTGTCCTAGACCGGCGATAATCAAAGCCGACGCCCTCTGCCTAACCGTGTTTCTTCCTCCAAGTTGTTCTTCTGCTCAATTATCCCATCCTTGTCGAGGGTGTGTGCGGTTTGGAATCTCTGTACACGTGGCGAATCCCCGTTGGTTGCATGGAAGTGGAAAGAATCTTGGGTTAACCTAAAACTGTCGCAATCTCTCTGTGGCGGCGCTTCTAACTGAATTAACTGTCCCTTTTGTACCCACATGAGATGAAGACCCCCTTTTTGTCTCTTCGACGAAGAGTCTTCGTGATTGCTGCCGATTTATTCATTATTTACATAAGCAAAATTTATGTATATATTATTTGCAATTACTCCCCAACAAGCGGATTTCATTCGCCTTTGTTTGTCTCGATGAATGTGCACAAATTTCTGACGTGTGTAATATTATTTATATATAGCATGATTAGGATTTAATTGGTGTGCATATATATATATATATATATATATGATTAGGATCCAGAAGGTGCAGGCATCCAAATGACTTGAAAGGCAATGAGAAAACAACAAAAAGAGGATCAAAACCCCCCAAAAAAAACAAGTATATGATATGATGTCATGTGTGGGTCCAACTTGGGAGCATGTGAATATATATATATATATATATATATATCACTCTCTACATATAACGCACATGAATTTTGTGTATAATATGTGTGTGTATATATATATATATAATACAGTCCAATATTAATACATGCCCCTTGTTAGGCACTTTTCCCTCACGTAAACCCATCCTTCGGTTCTTTTATTCCTTCCATATTTTGAAGCTTGGGCTTTTGCCTTTCCCCTAATGCTAACGTACGGTATAGATTAGAATATGGAGAAATATATACATGGCATAACTAAACCGATATTAAATTAATTGTTTGAGAATGATTAAGAATCTTAATCATTCTCAAACAATTTTTCTAATTAGATTTAACATATATTGTATATTAACTAGTGATACATAGGTGGATAAACGGTTATATTCGGTTTATTCGATACGGTTAATTCGGGTTCGGTTTATTCGGTTTACGGTTATTTCGGGTTCGATTATTTCGAGTTTTAAAAAATCATAACCAAACGGTTATTTAATTTTATTCGATTTAGTTCGGTTCGGGTATATATCGGTTGGTTCGGTTAATAACCAAAATACCCTAACCGTTCGCCCACCCCTAATTAAGATGACGTAGGCAAAGATTTAGTTTGTTAATTATTGCTGTAAATGTTGAATCCCCGGTTTTGATAATGAAATTATGACAACATATTGTTTAGACGTCCTTAAAAGCTCATTCGCAGAAACAACACAAGGCAAAATATTGTGATACTTATATATATATAGAGAGAGATAAAATCATTAATTTTAAAATAGCTGTCATTTGTAATTACAATTATATTCTAATGATTCCGTTCATAACTGACCATGTGCTTTCGCTTACACAGGTCTCGATGTCTCTTGTGAAATTATTGGGAAATAAATAGAGCTGCAGTTCACAAAATAAGATATAAATACTTGCAAATAAATTAACTATTAAAATTAATCTAAATCTAAATAAACAAGTGCAATATATATATATATATATATATATATATATGTCGATCTAAACAACGTGGGTAAATAAGAACATATTTCCTCCGTTCAAAAACCGTGATCCTTCATTTTCTAGGTTTTATTTATTGTACAATAAACAAAATAATATCCGATTTTTGCTATTATGTTTTTGCAAAGAAATAGAAATATTTATTCATTACATTCTAAAGTTCCACAAACAACGGAGAGTGCAAAAAACTTCACCATTTTTCTTGAAACAAACAGGAGACGGACAGCGCCTTCCACATTGGAAGGAAAACGGTCGGAAACAGCTGCTGTTGGCTTCAACTTCAAACCCCTCGCCCAGGTATCGACCAGGCATCATGAGCGGATCCTTTCCGAGAATGCAATGAAGATGGATAGTGACACGACAAATTTCACATGTGTAGTACAACTCCTCGCCCAGATTCAGTTTTCCCTCGCAGATCTTGCACCACCAGCTTCCATCTTTGGCCTCTTCGCCGCCGCTTTCAAGAACCAGAGGATGTCGGTCTTGCTTGTATCTTACCTTACTCGGTAAAGATATGCACCTCAAGCATAAGGCAAAGTCGCATTCGATGCACTCCATCTTCTTACGATTATAAATTTCCCGTCTTTTGCAACCTGAACATGCCTTTTCATCCATCGAAGTTGACGTGCAGAATAGAGGATGCGGATGACTTGTATGGATAAAGGGTTCAGAGACCGAAGCACAACTCACATCTATTTCAAAACGACAATCCATCTCGTTGCACGTATATACGAAGCCACAAAATTTCCGAGCACAAACATCACATATCTCACTCCCTGTTCCGCAAGCTTGTAATTCGAGCAGATGAGGATGTAACATGTACCACATCTTTCTTGGTAGATAGGCACATGTTTCGTGGAGAATAAAATTGCAATTCCATTGCGTGCATTTGTAGATATTACCAATGTGATTACGAATAGGAATAGCGCATATTTTATAGTGCTCGCTTCCATTAAAGCCTGTACCATCATACTCGTTCAGTTTAAGATGGTGCATGTGACTGAAATGACGTATCACTTTCCCGTCTACAACCTCGAACGGTGCCTTGACGTCTTCGGGTTCTTCGGGTATTCCCTCAAGGTCTTGCCCGTCCCACACATCTTCTCTTGTTGCACACCTCGAGTGGACCACATAATCGCAACCTCTGCTGCAAGAATATGACCGCAATTGTTCTCAACAACTTTCCGACAAACTCCGCAGGACCATGCTTCATGAGTTGGTGGAGGGGGAGATGTAACATAACAGAGACGATGTTGTGGGTGGCGAGAGATCCTAACGACGCGTGATAAGTCGATACACTCTCTATGGAGCATGACTCCGCATTTGAGACAAGCCCATGGAAGAGTGGGACGATTATGCAACAGACCACAAGCATCACAGGTGAAATGACGCAGTTTAAGGAGGAGAGATAGCTTATGGTCGTGGCTCTTGGGCTGACCCACCTCAAGAACAGGTGGCTTAGTGGCGCAACGCAGATGAATGATGAATTTACAGATAGAACAATGATAAACCCATCCTCTTCTGAGTTCTTGCTCGCAGTAACTGCACATCTGTGAAGTTTCAAGAAGATGGCGATGAAGATCAAGGAGAGAGAGAGGGTGAAGAGGGTGATAAGGGTGGTGATGGAGCTCCAATGGAGATTCTGCGCATTCCTTATGGAATTCATCCACGTGGCAAGTTGTGCATCTGTAACCTTTGACTATGGCGGAATCTGTTGGTCGACTGCACATAACGCAGAGGAGACATGAAATGTTACAAGGTCTCAAAGGGTGGGGGTGGACGGAAAGGTTGACCTCCTCCTCCTCCATCTCTCTCTCTCTCAATTTTTCTTCTCCCTCTCTCTCTCTCTTCTTTATATAACACAGTATCTCTTCTTTTCTTTTTTTTTGGTTAAGCGGGAGGTTCACATGTGCCTTCGGCTCAACCTACATCATCTGAGTCCGGAAGCAGCCTTTAGAGTGACTGGACCCTACGAGCCACACCCCCTCAGACGATAAATACACCCCTTCCTCCCCATCAACTGGATTCGAACGGTGGACGGGACCCTTCGAACCACACCCTTCCAACCACCCGCTCACTCACTGATGGGCCAGAGTATCTCTTCTTAATTTATATAACATAGATCCGAAGATCATGCGAGTCCACTCTGTGTCTCATTGGTCGTGGATCTCAATGTTTGCACGTCATAATTAATCATCCTAGCTAATCTTTACGGTTTAAATAATCTTGTAATTTTAATTTGTTTTTAAAATCTATAATTAAAATAATCGTAAAACTGTTTTTGAGAAAACATTTTTCATACAAAATGCCATCCACGCACATTCACGTTTAGAAACGAGACGACAAACATATAATCCCCAAAATACTCGACTTATATTTACATTTATGACTTGTGATTGTTTAAATATCAAGTTTTTTAATCCTATGCTTTTAGTTTTAATAATTATATCCTAAACATCGTTGTTGTAAAACTGTCAACAAACAACTACAACGAATAATTAATTAAATGTTTTAATTGCTTCTTTACATACACTGTATTTCAATTTGCATGATAATATATGATTTTGTTAATTATTAGTCAATAATTCTTGGTCGCTTTTTTTTATATAATTCCATGATTAGCCTTGGGCTGTATTTTGGCATAATTTGAGATCACAAGAATTCTGTGTTTAATGGGTTTTTTAAAAAAAATATTGAGGCCCATTTCCTCAAAACGGTGCCGTCTAAGAAAGCCCTAGATATGTAAATATAATGCTTCAACCTATCATTTTGTTTTGTTGTCGCGAAAAACCCCGAACAGAGCAATGGCTGCCGCCGGTGACATGAAGACTGATCAATCCATTCCGTTGCCGGACGTGATGAAGGCACCAGTTCGTCCCGACATCGTCAACTTCGTTCACGCTCAGATCTCCAACAACAGTCGTCAGCCTTACGCCGTTTCCAAGCGCGCCGGTCACCAGACCTCCGCCGAGTCATGGGGTACGGGGCGTGCTGTGTCGCGTATCCCTCGTGTTCCGGGTGGTGGAACTCACCGTGCCGGTCAGGGAGCCTTCGGAAACATGTGCCGTGGAGGTCGGATGTTTGCTCCGACGAAGATATGGCGCCGGTGGCATCGCCGCGTCAATGTCAACATGAAGCGGCACGCGATCGTGTCGGCCATCGCCGCCACGGCAGTTCCATCGCTGGTGATGGCTCGTGGCCACCGGATCGAGAGCGTTCTGGAGATGCCACTTGTGGTGAGTGACTCTGCTGAGGCTGTGGAGAAGACGTCTGCGGCTATTAAGGTTTTGAAGCAGATCGGCGCTTACGCGGACGCCGAGAAGGCGAAGGACAGTGTCGGAATCCGTCCTGGGAAAGGGAAAATGAGGAACCGTCGCTATATCTCTCGCAAGGGTCCTCTGATCGTGTACGGTACTGATGGAGCCAAGCTGGTGAAAGCCTTCAGGAACATTCCGGGTGTTGATGTCTGCAATGTGGAGAGGCTTAACTTGCTCAAGCTCGCTCCTGGCGGTCACTTGGGTCGGTTCGTGGTGTGGACCAAGTCCGCGTTCGAGAAGCTCGAGTCGATCTATGGCTCATTTGATAAGCCATCTGAGAAGAAGAAGGGTTACGTTCTGCCGCGTCCGAAGATGGTGAATGCTGACCTTGCTAGGATTATCAACTCCGACGAGGTTCAGAGCGTTGTGAAGCCGATCAAGAAGGAGATGAAGAGGGCTGTGCTGAAGAAGAACCCGCTGAAGAACCTCAACGTGATGTTGAAGCTCAACCCATACGCCAAAACCGCGAGGAGGATGTCTCTGTTGGCCGAAGCCCAGAGGGTTAAGGCAAAGAAGGAGAAGCTCGAGAAGAAGAGGAAACCCGTCTCTAAGGTATGCTCGTGTTATCCACTTGTATTTCTGGTTTCATTGATTGGTAGGAGATTCACATTAATGTACTGTTTTACTGGTGTTGCATATGGTTACCCATTCTATTGGTTAGATATCCTCTTGGATTTGAATCTTTCCTCGAATGCCTGTGATTGATACATTGGTTGTGCTGCTTTGACATATAGAACCCAGAGTCCTTTTGCCTAGCTATTGGTGATGTCCACATTTGTATTCATGCTTTGTGCTGTAGGATTGTTTTGTGCTGTATTGGGATTTTGAATGGTACTGTAGTGTTTTGCGAGTTCTGAGCTTCATGGTAGCTTTAGCCTTTAGTCTAGTGGAACAGCGCATTGAGAAATCTGTCTGACCCGTAGAATCTGGTCACAGTTAACTGATTTTGGCCTTGGATAAAAACTGTAAGATCTGCCTGTCGTCAGCTCGTGTGTTCAATTGGGTGTTGTGTGTGCGCGTTACAGGAGGAGGCAGCGAAAATCAGAGCAGCGGGGAAGGCATGGTACCAGACCATGGTTTCGGACAGCGATTACACCGAGTTTGACAACTTCACCAAGTGGCTCGGTGTCACTCAGTGATTTGGCTTCGTTCCAAACTCGGACAAAATAGATTTTGTCTATCATCTTCACTCTCTCATTGTTATTGTTATCAGTTCTTTTGGCGTTGTGCATTTAGTCTCTGTTATTGTTTTTGAATTATTAAGGCAACGACTTGTTTGCATTGGTAAGGAGATGAAAAACGTACATGAAGAGAAAACACATTCTATTTATGGAACACGAACCAATTGAGAATAATAATAATATCAGAATTAAAGCTCCATACGGCAACAGAGGCGAGTAATCGGACAAATTGTACAGAATCTTTCATGTTACAAACGTTGCGTAAGAGAATCTGTCTAGTTCGTTAACTAACAGAAACTCCCTCTGTTATTCTATAAAGGGAATGTTGTCGGATCTATATATAACCTGACTGAGATAACAAAAGAAAACCCCCGAGAGAAATAGCAACACACGTACACAGAGTTAAACCCTAAGTCGAAAGCGAATTTACCGTACAAGAAGAAAAATAAAAATCAGGGTGACGGATATGAAGGGGGAATGAATTATTGCAAACTCCTTTTCATCTCAGAGAATATAACATCTTTTGTACCTGAAATGGGGCTGTCTGTTCATGGCACTGTCATAAGCAGAGGCTTGTGTTGCGGTCTTCCCCTGTCTCGGTAGCCATTGCTGAGGACTTGTTCTCTGTTTCTACGACTATCTTTCGTTTCCTGTAAGGAACGAATGCTCTTGCACGTGTTTCGGAGTCTGTTCGCTTGAGCTGCGAGAACGCAGACCTCTCGCTCGGTTTGAACTCGGATTTCTTCTCCATGTTCGTCTCGGAACTCGGTGTTTCAACTTCTGAACTCTTGTCCGCGTCTCCTGTGTCGTCATCTGAACAAGTATTCGAACCCGTTGAGGATCCTTCAATCTGAAGTCCCTTTTCTTTACCACCTAAGTCGCTAATCTCTATACAAGCGTTGGTCGCTTCTTGCCTGTTCTGTTGTATCCAACACAAGATATTTTCCGCATTTAGGGCAGATGTCTCTGCCGGGGTTAGTTTACGTGGTAATGGCTGAATGGGTTTCCCTTCGTTTGCCTCTTGTGGGGATTTACAAAAACAAGATGTTGACAGAGCAGATGATCCATTTGGATCAGATAACAGAACAGTCTTCCCGAAAAGCTTAAGGCTTTGCTTCATCGGTTGGTTGATTGACTCTTCTCTGCTCAAGAGCCTCTGTCTGGGAAACAGCTCCAGCTTCTGTACATTTAACCATCGGACAGGAAAGTTAGAAACTAAAAGACATGCAAAGGGAAAGACCAGCGACTGAAATGATGATACATACCAAGGATTCTGGCTCTTCAGCTGCAGTTGTGGCGGTCGTAAGAGCAGCAGATGGTGATGCTTCAGCCGAACCATATGGTTCAGAGAGCATAAGCTCACATTGCAATGCATAGGAAACAGGGGATAGGCTACTGTTTGGTGAATTTGAATCAGCAGAACCAAAGGCATCTGAACCAACCGAGGATAACACCGACGTTGGAGATTGGTTGTCTCGCTCCAAGGCTGATAGGTTGGGAGAAACCGATCTTCTTGACTGATCTGTACTTGATATTTCTTTGACGGAAGTGTTTCCCAGTTTACGAGGGTATGGATGCACCGGTTTTCTTTTTGGACGAGGAGGTGGTATCACGATTGGCTCCACTGAGCTCCCATTACTTCCAGTGGTATCCCGAGCAACCTGCACAAATACAAAAGATTAAGGCCAAAATCTCCATGAAGGTAAAATGAACTTGTATCTAGAACTAGAACATGGGCAATTATTGGGCATACACTAATAAACAACATGGTGAGAGAATCATTGTGTATAGGGGGCAATCAGTAGACCTTAGAGAAAAACTTCTGAGCATGGCTTCGAATCTGAACTGCAGTCTTTGTCCCCACATGTTCTGTTAGTAAAACATCATACGTTTTACGTTTCAGGTTCATGTTAAACTATAGGTCATGTGCAAGTGCAAACAAAGCATTGATCAGAAGTACAAGAGTATCGACATTTTCAGGTCGACTTACCCTCTATGCGTCTCCAAGCTCGCCCATATAGTTTCAAGGCTTCAACAAACTTCTTGTGCTCCTCATCCGCCCATCTCTCTCTTTCTTTTGTGATAGTGTAAGGTTTCCTTACCTAATAGAATTATTGAAATCAGATAAACTGAGCAAAGATCTCCAGAAAAGATACAAAAAGAAATATTTTTAACGGTAAGAAACAAAACCTTGGGCGCAAAGTTTTTTCTCCCCGAAATTTGTTCATTGAGTTGCAACTGCTGGTCTGAGCTTTTAGAAACTCCAACACGCAGAGCAGCTTTGGTCAAACGCCCACCTCCACAGGTACCCTGCAACATAAATCATCAAGCAAAATGACACCAAAATCACTAGGGCATTCAATGTATCCTGGGACGATTCACTACTCTAAAGTATAATTCTCTTCCAGATCACCATTGCATAGTGTTCCAAGTTGAATCTTTGACGGAACCCTAAAATAATTTCTGCGAAATTTCTAGCTAGGTTATTGGAATATACATATTAGATCAAGTTTTATACTCTTCCTCTTTTTCCTTCCACTACTAGAAGAATCACTAATATCACTGAACAATGGCCCAAGTAACATCGAACGAAACTCAGATGGTCACAGAGCTCAAGTTCTAAACTTAAAATTAAGTATTGAGGTTTGTTCGTGTGACAGGATGATATACATTACAATAAAACCATAGATCCATTGGTCCATCCAAATTACAGAAAGCAGAGAGAAAAGTGAGAGAATATTACTACAGTAAGAATTAGGTCATCACCTCAACAGTCATAGCCGAAGAAGACGACACCATCGTCGCTATTGGTCCTATCAATCTAAACTGTTTATCTCGACACCAGCCAGAACGAGTTCCTGCGAACTCTCAATCACAGAATCGAAAGATATAGTCCTCCAATCAGAAGCTTCAATCTCATCGATCTGCTTCTCCCGCCTCAGGGAAAACTTCCACCGCTCCACTGAGTCGTAGATTTGAACTTCGCGGTAGAAGGAATATCGGAGAATCTCTGCGGCGAATCTAGGTTCGGATACTGAAAAAGAAGACACAAACAGAGAAGAAAAAAGAGAAGGAGACGGTGAAAATGAATCTCTCGGCCGCTCTCAGACCAGCGAATGGCACCGCCTTCGCCGAAGTTTCTCCTCGGAATCAGACAAAGAGGAAGATCCCGATTCGCCGGAAAACCACCAACCTCAAAGAAGGAGAAGGCAGAAGCACGGGAGGGGAAGAGGGAAAGTGTTTGGCTCTGAGGAGGAGGGAGGGGAAGACAACCAATGGAGCGCTCAAGAAACAGATTAAATCTTGTGGTATTTGCGCTTTTCCCATTTCCTATTTTTCATATTTTTATTTAAATAATCTCTTTTCCAATGGAACGCTCGAGAGACGGATGAAATTTTGTGGCTCGCATTGAAAGGGAGCCACTGCCACGTGGCGCTCGTGCGCCTTTTGTCACTTCCCCGTCTTTAAAGATAAATAAACTTAATACTTATATATATATATAAAGTATATATCTGTGAAAAATGTAATATTAGTTGCTACTCCTTCGGGCCATACATAAATTTTCATATTAAGAAATGTTCTCTGATATCTTTTTTTAGTTGTTTTAATTGTTTTTCCAAATTTATATATATCTGAAGGAAAGAAAGATAATTATAATTTCTATTTTGAGTTGGAAGAGAATGTCCACGCACGCGCGTGTACTACCATTGTTTTCTTATCATTTTCCACGTCTATAAATCGAAATATATTCATATAAAATATTAATTATATATCTAATATAATAAAAAAAATCAGGATATTTCAAAAGTTTTATTAGGATTAAAATGGAAATTGTATAATATCAAATTAAGAGTTTGTATAATATAATACCAAAGGTAAATCACAAAAAGAAATCAGGATATCTCTGTTTTATTTACTTGCACAAATAGTTTTGATAAAACAACGAAAACGAAATAAAAACTTTATATTAAAATATCTTCAGCCTCTCTAAAATTACAGGTGGCAGGGCGGTCGGTCCACTACCAAAACCTACACACACCACACATGAAATATATAGGATATTATAATACAACATAAATATTTTTCTCCTTCTTAAGTGCGATATATAATTTATAAATACATTATTACTGTGGTGATAAAAGTGTTTGTAATTCAAATTCTAACAGTATCGTTGGTCTTAATTTCTATTTTTATGTAAAATCTCAATCATAATTTCAATTTGTGGATAACAGCAATAATGTTTTAAAAAAATCAGACGGTCCAAAGTCAAGGACGTTGAATGGTAATAATCATGTTGAGTTGCACTTTTGTCCACGTCATCGTTTCTCTCTGCCGACCCTTCTACTGAAAATCCGACACCTGGCAGTAAAGGGCGTAAAGGATTCTAAGCCACTTGTTTTTTTTAATCTATTTAATATTGCTCTTTTATTTAAGTAATTTATTAAATATTATTGAAAATTCTCAGCCACAAATTTGCCTTGTCGCTTTGGCTTAGGGTTTCAAAGATAGAGAGGGAGGAAAGTTGTTGGTGGTGTGTGGTTGTATTTGTATCTAGTATATATTTCCTTTTTAATTAGTTTTTTTTTTGCCGCCTTTCCATTTCTAATTATTTTTGTGAAATTAAATACACTATTTATTTTGTTATTTTTTAGATATAAAACTGAGAATTAAAACGCGTGTGGATATTTGCTTCACAGTTTAAATTCAGTAAACATTGTTTTAATAATTACTTAAAGGTTTAGTATACAACAGATAAAGTAAAACCTGTGTCAAATTATAGGTAATCCATATTAATTTTATCACATTTCAACTAAAAAAAGTAATCTATATTGATTAATTTTCCAGTGGTAACTAATTTTCTAAACAGGTGGCCGTGAGAAAACGGGAGAATTTTATTTTCCTTGGATAATATTTGGAGTGGTGACGTGTAAGGAAAGGAAAGTGAAGTTCACGGGGTTTAGGATGCGACAGCTCACACTCTATAACTTCTCTCGTTGGAAGTCTCTGGTTAGGAAGAAGGTTTGGACAGTTAGGTAAAGGACGGGATGTATGACACGTGGCAAGCACGAGTCGAAGCCTCCAAGGCAATATGTGGTAATGCAAGGCTCTCAAGATCTTTTTTTTTTCTTTTTCAACCGTACATGTTGATGTATATTTCTTTTTTGGTTGATTTTAAATTATGCGCAAATCTAATTTTTCCCTAATTGTTTCTTTCTTGGGGCCTCTTATGATCCTACCAACTATAAAAATAAAAAAGAAGATCCCACAAAACTATATCAGAATATAGAAAAGAGGTATTTGTATGACAAAAAATAATGATTTATAAAATTGAATGGGGTAATCTTATATAAATATATGAACTTTTATAAAATTTCTAAATAAATAGTTGAACTATAAAATTTCCAAATCAATACCTGAACTTTTCAAAATTTCTATATAAATATCCAAATTTTTAAAAAATTCTAAACACAACAATTTCCGTTGACGACGTTAATCGACAGAGTCATCGGATTCCGTTATAAATTAAACGGTGTTGATGGATTTTTGTTGTATTTAGAAATTTTTTAAAAGTTTTGGTATTTATATGGAAGTTTTGAAAAATTCAGATATTGATTTAGAAATTTTATAGTTCAACTATTTATTTGAAAATTTTATAAAAGTTCAGATATTTATATGCGATTACCCCTAAATTTAAATATTTTAAAATTTTAGAAAAAATATATATATTTTAATATCATTATCATTATTATTGTGTTAATAATTTAGTAAAAAAAATATATGTATTCATATAAAAAAATTAGATAATTTATATATTCATTCGATAAAATATATATTTATTTTAAAAAATATTATATCAAAATAGAAAGGACGAGAAAGAGAGAGGGGCCCATCTGATTCACGGTTGCATCCTTTATGTATCAGTGCGTTAGGATCGCGAGATCCTTGGCTTCTATCAGCTTTGTGGCTAATATTCGTCCTTTAGATTTTTTTTCTTTCTTTCTCCAACCTATGCTTTGAAGAAAAGAGACCCACACAAATAAACAAAAACTGATAAATATATCAACCCTCTCCCCTTAAGAAGGGGCAAGAGGCTTTAATAGGAGCATTGTGAGGCGTAGGAAGAACCAGAAGATATTCTTTTCGGATAAACTGGATTTGACTTTGAAAGATACACGAGAATGTTTTTTCTAAAGATAGGATTCAGAAAAGAGATTTGTGGTGAAGAATCACACACAGAACTCTTGGTCACAGACAAGAGAGGATTAAAGGACAATGACATTGCAATAATCAAAATCATTATCTAATAATATAATCAAAATTCCAGCAAGACCGGACATAATACGCAGGTGATGGACCAACTGTAAAATAAGCTTCGAAAGGCAACCAACACCATTTACTTTTATTGTTGGAAATTTACCGCAACTTACTGACCTTTTTTCCAAGCGCAAGTTTCACGAGGGGCAAAACTTTCTTCACAACTCATCAGGACCACTGATGTCCTGTAAGAATATGAGAAGTGAATCGGAATGAGGAGAAGAAGAAGAAGAAGAATCGATTTCCATTGTTTTACCACGTTACCTTGTTCTCGATCACAGCTCCATCCGGGATTTCGAGCTTTGCCCCAGCTTCTGCCGTGATAGTCACATTTCCCTTCAAAATACAAGAGCGAGTTTCAAAGAACTGCAGAGTATATACATACAAAGGCATGTGTATGCGCTCTTTATGTTGACACGCTGTTGCAGGATTCTGGTGTTTGGAGCTAGACAGATCACCTTGAGAACGACGCCAGTGCCAAACCAGACATCGCCGGACACCTTAAGGCTGTCGAGCTCGACGATACTTGGGATGGACTTGAACCGGCTCAAGAAGTTAGATACCTGTCCGGAAAAAAAAAAGGACAACTGAAATTTTGAAACTGGAGTGCCAAAATAGTGTTTAGAAAGCATTAGGGCATTTATCAAGTTATATGTACTACTTCACCTTCTTGAACTCTGGTCCCAATTCGATTGATGGGTTTGATGGGTTAGTTCTAGCTTTGTTCCGGGTGACGAAACCGTCCACTAGCGTGTAAAGATCCGACTGTAAACGGTGAGTGGAAGCGTTACATGGAATTTAAACATGCAACTAGTCTTTTTAATCTGGGCAAATAAAAGGAGAGAACCTGAACGAGAAGCAAGTCTGAAGTTGCCTTCACAGGCAAGAACCGCGAGCGAGGTACATTAATACCGATTGCGTTGTCAAAGAACTGTTGAGTTGAGACAGAGAAGCCCCAATGTTTGTGAGAATGAATACCAAATTCTCATGCTTTGAAGTGCGATATTGAATATTACTATGTGAACATACCCTTATGGCGGCACCAGCTGCAGTTTCCAGTTGAAGAACTTTTACTCCATCGACCTCCTGAAAATAAATCCAGCCTTATCATCATTTAGATAATTAATTATGTCATTTGCAAAATCGAAAAACACAAAGAACGGGAACATTGTTTTCTCTAAGTGGGCGGGAACCTTTGGGTTCGGAATGATCTCCATTTTAAGTGCACTGGCTTCGACTAGCCTTTTGATCGCCTTCAAGTTAACCCATCTGTAAAAGTTGATTAACCGTCAGGACCCGCACATAAATTTACATCTCAGACATTCAAGGAATTGGAATCACTTACAGGTTGTTCGTGTTGAATATCTTGAACTTCTCAATTGATTTGAACTCGTTGACCTACACACACAACAAGAAAATAACTCTCAGCAACAGCAGGTATCTCAGTATACACAGTCTCATTTCATGCACAGAGCAAATACAGCACTCGACATCATCCTATGATAGGGATGTAAGAGCAGTGGACTTACATGTTCATCAGGAACTTGAGCAATCTCCAAGAGCTGCGACATATTAAGAGATAAGTTATTTTCAGGTGTAAAAAGAAGCAGGAAGAACGTGAGGCGCAGCAAAGCTTACATACAGATACCTAGAGTCCTACTACACATCATAAGGAGTTTCAGTAACACATTTGGGAACGGGGGTTATGAGGAATAAGAAAAGAGATTATAATTTAGTAAGGTTCACATTAGACCACACAACATTGCAGAGACTTTTATTATAAAATCTACTGCCAGAATTTACCTGAACTTTGCCTTCGTAAGAGATGAGAGTGCCTCCCTTTACATCAGCTAATGTTTTAGGTGTAACCTCCATACAGTACTCATTTTTGTTCTGGATCAAATGGTTCAAGATTTCTAAAGTAGCATAAAGTCAAGGACCCATACAGTATAATTAAGCTTTGATTTCATTCAGGTTATGTTAGTTACATAAGAACTTTGAGGAGGATACTTAAGTCAACAATGGCGCCCAGGTTGTCCGAGTTAGCAACAAATACATACTCCTTACCCTGAACAGACAAAAGAGAAAACGAAACAATACTCATTAGCCAACTTAGACATCAAGGATAAAATCTGGAAAATTTTGTAATAGAATACAGTAAGAAAAAAGAACCTGTGACAGGAAAGTTTCCAACTTGCCGCTGTTCATTAGGGATGGGAATACATCACCATGGCCAGGAGGATACCTTCAGAAAGATAGACAGTTATTAGTGGAAAGTAACAAATAAAAGACCCATAATTATGAATGGGATGACATTGGGTGGATGGAATCCCAATAAAGTTGAAAACTCAAATACCAACATAAGGACTACAGCATTTTGTTAACCAGCTACCACAAGATATTCATCAGGTTGTAAATAACTTAATACAAGAACAACAGCAACTACTTGCGCTCTGTAAACTAGAACTAATCTGAGAACACAAGGTCTCATACTTCCAATTAGAACACGTCTAATACTGCCTTCTAGGAGGGCTAAGTAAGTCATAATAACAGGAATCTAGATTTCATCACATAGATCAGATGTGATTTTTTAGAGGATTTTTTGTATTAGAGAAGAATCTAAGATGAATAATACTGCATTACGAATTTACAAGTACAATCAAATGAAATCTTACCAGCCATCCTTGTCGGTCTTTCCTTTGCTGGGCCATGGCAGAAACTCATCAGCTACAATGCGAGGGTATTTGCTCTAAAATATTCAAACAGTTGTCAACGTTAGTTGCAGGATTGGCCAGAGCTGCTCAAACGTTTGCAATTTATTTTGCTAACTTGATGTGGCATCAAGAACCTGGTTAAATGTGTGAATGTCGACATTGGAGTTGGAGTACTTCTCCACAATCTGAACGAGACAAAACCCAATCAGACTACAACAATAATCGAAACTTTACCAAATGAAAACATGTGGAGATTTACTGTGAAACTGCAGTACCTTATGTGTGTCATCATGTGTATTGAACGAGTTCATGAGAACTAGCGGAACCGTACAACCGTACTTGTTGTTGAGATTCTGTGGTACATGAAACATGGAGTTATGGGACTACATTTTCATTAAGATAAAACAGATGAGAGAGAAGATGGACCTCAATCTGGATAACAATCAGGTCAAGAAATGTCAAACCATCACGAACTTCAATGACAGATCTGCATGGGAGAAGGAAAACATATCACATTTTTTGGCAAGTGAAAACAAAAAACAAGAAAAGGGAACGAGGTAGAATTAGGCATGCAGTAGATATGCTAAACCATAATATAAAACCTTGACTCTTAAGTTCTAGAATAAACTTGTTACCCCCTAACAGTTGCAACATTTACAGTATGCCTCTTGTTGCTAAAAGTTCACAGGCACTGCTTTAAAGAAACTACTAAGTTCCACTCACTAATTATGGCAATAATGATTCTCTCAGAATAATGAGCAGCCAACCATATCCTTTCTCCTTTCTCAAACATCAATCTTTTAATCTCAAATAGACTAGACTACACAAACAAAAGATTAAGACATCAGACAGAAGAGCTTACTTAGGGCCAGTGCATCCCATTGTTGTCCCAAGACCTCCATTAAGTTTAAGCACAACAAGCTTGTCCAAGAGCTTCTTGGTCTCAGAAATATCTTCATTATTTTGAAAAAGTAAGATAAATCATGTTATTTAAGGCGGTTGATAGAAAGGATCTGTAGCAAAAACAACAAAATCTAGTATGGTGGACAGCCAAACGAGACCAACACAATCCTGGGAAATTACCTTCGGAAACAGGGGCCAATTTGTCGTAAGGAACGACAATTTCGTCGGTAGGTGTCTGGATCTTACCCCATTCAATGTGCTGGGCCTCACCACTTCATATGCAGAAGCAAACAGTAAAATTACAACTCATTAACCCACAACACCTAGGAAAACCAAAATATATTCCCTAAGAAAATAAAGAGACAGTAACCTCCGCGAATCAAGATCTATATCTAAGATCCTATCCTATCCGATCTGTCGTTCTAAAGAAGCTGACAAACACAAATTGAAAAACCAACTCTAGGCACTCGCTTATTGGGATTCCAGAAATTTCCGAGAATTAAGAGCAGTGAAACCTGTTTGACCTCCACAAATCCCAGAGATTAACAACAAAAAGGGTTCGATCAAGATTCAAGATACACAGCACAAATCCGCAAACAAACAACTGAAAGTAAGGGAAGAGCAGACAAACCTCAGGTAGCGGGAAACAAGGTTGATGAATCCGTTCTTCTCATTCTCACTGAAACAAGGAAGCGGAACAGTTTAAACCAAAAAAACGAAGAAACATCAGATCCACGATCCGGAGCCATCAAGATTCAAGATCCATCAGATTCTCCACGGAAGCAACGGACAAAAGATCCAACAGATGTGCAACGTAAATCACAGGAACAGAAGAGGTAGGAAACAGAGAAATGGAAGACGAATCCGCAAGCGAACCTGATCTGATCAAGGCCATCGACGGCGGATTCGAGCTGGGAGAGGTTCTCGGTTGCAGCGGCCATGGATGATAACCGATGAGAGCTTCAGATCCACAGAAAATTTCACGGAGAGAGATAGAGAGCTTGTAAATGAAGATTGTTTTGGAATCAAAACGGGGCGATATTTATATGAGAAGGGAACTGTGCGTGTCCTCAAAAATAAAAATGTCCGTTGTATTCTGTTTGCAACTGCCAATGGAAAACCAAAATCTGGCAGCGTCAATCGGATTTTCCATTCAAAATCCAAAGGTATATTCATTTTAAATTTGCTATTTAAATGGAAGGGGGGGGGACCGAAAAGGCAAAAAAAAAGAGAACCATGTTTCGCAGCCAAAGCCGATACTCTAGAACGACGTCGTTTGTGGAGTATGGCTCATCACACATACCAGGAACTATTTTTTTATATTTAAATAGAAAAGAATACATTTGCAAATAAAAATCATGACGCAGTTATATTGAATCTTGTCATTTAGAGGGTCTGTCTTAAGCAGAATAAGGAAATTGGACTGAAAAATAAAATAAAAAAGATGGGCCTAAACAAAACTGGCCCAAATTAAATAAGAGAAATTTGGGGCCCATATAGAGAAGGAAAGTAAAACCGATAGGCTCCTTATTAAAAAAAAAAATAGAAAGGAAAATGTTGGCCCAAAGACAAGAGTACAATCGGCACCGGATTTATCAAAATGTCACGTATAATTACACTATAATTATAATGGTATAATTTGTAACGACCCGAGGCCGATACAGAAGGATAGAACTGTCCTCACACACCAACACGAGACCTTTTAGCGTGTTTTGTCATCACTCGCACACATCCCGGAAAGTACTTCCCATGAGGTCACCCATCCTAAGACTACTCCAAGGTCAGCACGCTTAACTTTGAAGTTCTTTCGAGATGGGCAATCGAAAAGGTAGATGCATTTTGTTGCTATGAGTAGCTCAATTAATTCTTTTAAGTTATCTTATACTGTGTAGTCTCATACCTACACAGCCCTCGGATCCCTCTCATTCCGGTGTGTCCGCTTCATCCCTGTACCCCCTACCCAGAAGCTCGTCAGGAGCCGCCTATTGTCCATGCCTCTCGCACCGGCGATCACTCCCCGCCCTCCTACGATATTCTAGACTGTCACATAATTACACTATTTGGCAACACTATATAAAGATCAACCAAAATCTATAAAATACAGAAAATAGGTTATATTTGTTTCAAATTTTACAAATATTTTAAAATTTTTAAACATTCTCCCAATTTTATTTAAAAAAAAAACGTTTTACAGTCATTTAAGTCCATTAGATTTCTCTTTATTTTTATTCCATGTAAAAAACGACCTGCTATATATATATTTAAGAAGCTTGCTTCATATTTCTAAAAAAATACATACTTTTAAAATCAGAAATTTGGGACAGAAAGGTTAAAAAAAGATCTACGAGATCAGAAAATAAAATGTCTAGAAAGGTCTTCGGCTTTTGGGGACCCAAAAATCAAGGGACAAAAAAAGTTTTCCTAAAGTGTTAATATTCTTGAATAAAAAATATGTATGATGTATTGTATTTAAACCATAAGATATAAATCAATGTTTTCATGTAATTCAATTGATATCATAACCGATATAAAGACATGAAATTTTTTATTAAAAACACAAGACATGGTAGGAATTAATGAGACATGATGGAGGAAATCATGAATGGGAAACAAAGTACAATGGATATACGGGAAATGTGCACTTTCATCATCAACTGCAAAAATTTATATATATTTTACTTTTGGATATTTATTTTATCTTTCCGTCGGTTTTGGTTTAGGGTTCTTTTTAAATTCAGTTATTAAAAATATTTTTTTTACTATTTCTAGTTTTCGACTTTAATTCAATTAATTTTATTTGTTTAAAAATATTTAGTCAAAACAAAACTTGCATTGTGATATATCCTATTCACATTGACGCAATTTCAAGTCAAAATACAAAAGTAAAAAAGAGGATTTGTGTAGTGGAAGTTATTCAGTTTGCAAATTGAACGTGAAAACTTGATTAATTAATTAATTTTAACAAAAAAAACTTGATTAATTAGTTATTTGATTAAAAAAGAATTAAACGGTAGGCCTGAAGCAACAGTCCCATGTATAACGGAACCGTCGAAAGTCACGAATGTGGGTCCCACGCGCAATTTTAGGACTGGAACTCGAAGATTAATCATTGATTAGCAATCTAATTAATAAAATAAATTAACAATATCTGACCTTATCATTAAAATTTTGGAATGATTACATTTACAACTGGAAGTATAGTTGCGCCGTGCGCGTTTCCACATTGTCATTCAGACTCTTATTTCTGGTTATAATAAGATATTTGTGTTATAGGGTCACCGTCGGTCCATATTATATAAATAAATATATTTATAGGGGTACATCCATATGTCATTTTTACTCAACCCGAATAAATTTTCTTTTTCTTTTTTTTTTTATCACGGGTTGACTATTATTGCATTCAATTTAAAACTTGTAATTTCTGTATCAATAATCCAATGATAATAATTTTAATAGCAATCGATCAAAGTATGCGATGGAATCAACAATTAGTTATAGTAACAAATAGTGAAATAAATATTTAGAAACCCATGTTACATCCTCTAAAATCGGCATATAAAATGGGTTTTTTTTTTATTGGTAAGTGAGATTCTAATCTATAAATTACCGAAATTTACGTGCTATAGAACACATAGTTAATACGTGTTTAAAATTCTTACTTTCCTTAACAACTTATAAAAAATATATATTCATTTTTCAATAATCACACACATATGCACGTTCATTCGTAAATACAAAAATACTATATCAAACTAGGTGTTGTAACTAATTAAAGGGATGTTTGGGTTCTATTATAAAAAACCAAAATAATTAAACTAATCAATTAATTTAAATGAATATAAAGTAGTCATCTTTTAAAAAACTCAATAATTTTATTAACGAATTTTTTTAAAAAAAAGTCGAAAAATAACTTAATGTTTCCTAAATCAGACCTATTCGATTACTACATGGACAAATTACGAGTTGATTATACAGAACAAAAAAAAACAAAACAGCCTTGAATTTTGGGATATGGTTATGGGAAAAAAATAATTATAAAATTGTTATAGAATTCTGAATACATGGCTCCGTTATTTAAATCGTATATAATAAATAATTAAACTGGATTTGTTTTATTTTTTTAAAATAAAAGTCGACGACGCGGATTCAATAACCTGCAATGCACAACTGTCCATCTCCACTTCTTAAATATATTATATTATTTCTCATTTTTTTATTAGAGACTTTTTCCAAAACATTCTGTTGCATATAAACTCCCTCGATCTCCGATTCTTCTCCTCAAACTCATCAAAGATTCACCGAATTTCTTCTGTTTCTTCACAACATCAATGGGCAACTACGTTTCTTGCTCCCTAAGCAAGACATCCTCCTCCTCCTCGTCGGCCAAAGTGATTCTCCCGGACGGCGAAGTGCGTGACGTCTACGCGCCGATGAAGGCGGCGGAGATCATGATGGAGACGCCGAACCACTTCCTCGTCGACGCCAAGTCTCTCAAGATCGGCCGTAAGCTCAGCCCTCTGCCGGCGGACGAGGACCTCGACCTCCGCGGCGGCTGCCACGTCTACATCGCTTTCCCGATGAGCCGCGCTTCGTCGGCGGCCAACGCCTCCGACAAGGCGCGTATGTTCCTCGCCGCGGGGAAGAAGCGCCGGAGGGGAGGCCCCAACGGAGGGAGAGTGTCTCCCGGCGGGGAGGGTGATGACGTCAGGCTGATATCACCGAAGCTGAAGTTGGAAGACATCGAGGAGTTCTCGGCGGCTGAGTTCATGCATCGGATCTCCGTGTCTAAGTCGAAGAAGCCACAGTTAGAGACAATCGCAGAGGAATCTGTTTCGTCCACGTGATTGAATCGAAAAAACAAAACTTTTTTTATTCTCTATATGGTCATGTTAGTCGGACCAAAGGTCTGTATACCATCGCTGTTTCAAAAAAAAAAAAGGTTGCTTTATTTTTTTTCTCTTATGAAGTAGCTCTCTGTTGTGGTTTTAATGTACAGAGGGAGATGGTGGTGGAGAATTTTAACATGGGATTGATTAATTTCTTATATTGGGAAATATAAAGAGTTTGAGTTTGATAGAGTTTAGATATTAGTTTATTTCGTATTTACATTGGATTTATATATATATATATTTATTATAAGGTTAAGAAATTTTCTAAAATCAATTTTTTATTTTTGTTTTCTGATAAAATATAAAAGATCTGTATATATCTCTAATATCTTGTTTTTTGGTATGGAAAATTAATCTGTATTCTGATGCATGAAATGTTTACAAGAGGCATATCAATGATTACATCTAAAATGCTAAATATTACATCAAAGTGCTAAGTATTCTGATGCATAGATTTTAGTTTTTGGTTTTTAGAATTTAACTTTTAGCTTTTTGATTTTTGTAATATTTATAAATTCAAAAAATAGAATTTTTGGTTTTTAGTTGATTTTACAAAAAAAATTCCAAGTTTTTAAGAAAACTTAATTTACAAAATCTTGATTATCAATTTTTTTTTTAAAATAAATTGAATTCTAAAATCTCTAAAAGCTTCTTCTGTTTAACTCCTAAGTTAAGTTTAAAACAAGATTACAAGTACCATTAATGGGTCGAATCCACTATGAGTTGCATCCATGGCTTCAATTACAATGCAGGCAGGAACACAACTATTCCCCTTTTTGTCATGTCTAGGAACATGATGTTATGTCTAGTTTGCCTGTAGATACTCTATTTGCTGCACATATAAGCTGCTATTGTTGTAATGCAACACATCAGACACAGTGACCAATTATTGTAGTTTACAGACTGAAAGATTTCGATCTGCACATGTACCGACCTTGTCGATGCGATCTTCATTCCACTCCCTTTGGACTATTCTCCATACGCTACTAACTAAACCCATGCCGATATGCAGTTCGATTCAGCAGATCATAGTTGCGGTGGCTCCTCTAAAAAGCGCATGGAAGCCTTCCCCTCGTACTATCTCGCCCTCCGCTGAGGGCAGGGTGGTTGGCATTCCGGTATTTCATAGGCTGTGTCCAGAGGTAAGAAGCATCATTCTCATCCTAAGAGTATCAAATGGGTGAAAAGCTAAGCTGTGAAGCCTGTAGCTGTAGTAATGCCCCATCCCCCAGAAGAAAGCTTGCCAAGAAGTGTTTCCCTGTCAAAGATGCAGAGCGGTTTCGTAAAAATGTCCGGATCTTGTATCTGAAGCAAGGTAACAGATCTTGGAAGAAGATATAGCTCATAATGGCGAATCACTTTCGCATTTAGGACATCGGTCTCAGTTCATTCCACAGGGAGTGATAACCTTTTCGAGAGATTGGAAACTCGAAGTGGAATGAAATTCGTATAGAGGGCCGCAACTGCGAAACCGGGTATCTAATACAAAGCTCACAGCACAAATCTAACCAGCTTACAAATGCAATCCTCATGATTGGCAGCATTCCTTTTTGGATTGAAAACAATTCATCAATCAATCAAGATGAAGTCAAGAACACAACAGATGTTACAACTGTATCGAATTTCCAAGCGCCTGAGAAAATCCAGGGAAAGAACAAGAAAAAGGGGCTCATGAATGTACCTGAGTAGGGAAATATCGAATGACACTGGCCTGATTTTCCCTCCAAGAGAACAGAACACCTTCTTCTCGGAAGACTCTTACAAAGCAATTAACGGAGAACAGTGCAAGGTCTCTTGAACATCTCTCCTTGGTTTTCCAGCAGAAGCTTCCCCTCATGAAATCTGTAGAAACATTATCGGATTTCCCGACCAAATCCTTTTTTTCGTCTTCTACCTGATGCGTGATCAAACAGTCAATAAAAGGATGTTCTTTTCTCCCAAGTTGGCCGTCGATACATAAACAATTTTAGCAAGAAAACAGGAAATTTGACGGATTCAAAAATGGAAAAACCCCATGATCGTACTCGCACAAAAGGTTGAAGCCGTGTCATATGCATTCGGCGATGAGACAAATTCTCCAACGACCAGAAAAAGGCGTTGAAAGAATCCAGAACGAAACCAAACATGAACGAAGAACCAAAAAATAAATCTAAGATTCGAGGTAAAGAAAGAAGACAAACCTGGAGATTCCGGAGTGATTCCTCCAAAAATGAACCCTAAGGCGAATGGGTTTTGCTCTGCTGCGACAAAATTTGTCCTTTTTTTCGGGACGAGAGGTAAGCGTTTCATATATTTTTTGTCACAAGGAAAAAGAAGAAAAAAAAAAACAAGAGAGTGGAGAGCTATATTCCCGTGATCCACTATCAATCAATAGATAGTTAATCTGGAAAGGTGAAGTCACATGGGTCCCTTCATTATTCGGATTGAAAAGACACATTCTTTAGATCTTATATTTGTACAAAGAAGATAGAAGAAACGGAGAGATACACAACCACTACCATCTCAAAATCAGACAGCCATGGAGGAGGAGAAGGAATCAGTCCAGTTTCCGATCCACAACCACCCTTTGACACCATGTATCTTGTCAAATCTCCCTTGCTTTATGTGCTTTTCTTCGACACCACACCCACACCCCGAAGGTTACAGATGCAGAATTTGCATCCAGAGATTCCATAAGGAATGCGCGGAATCTCCAATGGAGCTGAACCACCCTTACCACCCTCCTCACCCTCTCTCTCTCCGTCCCCTCGATCATTATCTCGGTGAGGCTTCAGAGTTATGCAGTTGTTGCCGAGAAGAACTCGGAAAAGGATGGGTTTATCACTGTGCTATCTGCAAATTCTTCATCCATCTTCTTTGCGCCATGAAGCCGCCGGTTCTTGAGGTGGCTCAGCCCAAGAGCCATGACCATAAGCTCTTCCTCCTCCCTAAACCACGTCCCTTCACCTGTGATGCCTGTGGTTTGATGCTCGGTTCTTCCTCTCTTCCTTGGGCTTGTCTCAGATGCGGTGTCATGATTCATAGAGAGTGTATCGACTTACCCGTGTCATCAGGATCTCTCGCCACCCACAACATCGTCTCCGTTATGCTTCCTCTCCTCCTCCTCGAGTTCCATCTCATGAAGCATGGTATTGTGGAGTTTGTCGCAAAATGGTCAATAACCAGTACGGAGCGTATTCTTGCATCAGAGGATGCCATTATGTCGTCCACTCAAAGTGTGCAACGAGAGAAGATGTGTGGGATGGAATAGATCTTGAGGGAGAGCCCGAAGAATTCGAAGATGTCGAGCCGCCATTCGAGGTCATAGATAACAAAGTGATACGCCATTTTAGTCATGAACATCATCTTCAACGGAAAGAGGATGATGGCGTAAGATTTGACAGAAGCAAATGCTGCAGAATATGCATTTTTTCTATTCGTATTCACCTCGATAATATCTATCGATGCACGCAATCTGATTGCGATTTTACTATCCACGAAACATGTGCAAATCTACCAAGAAAGATATGGTACATGCTACATCCCCACCGTCTGAAACTACAACCTTGCAGAACTAAAGAGATGAGGAAGTGTCACGTTTGTGCTTGTTACTGTTTCGGTTTCATATATGAGTGTTGCAAAGAGGGTTGTCGTTTCATCGTAGACGTGGATTGCGCTTCGGTCTCCGAGCCCTTTATCCATATAAGCCACCCTCATCCTCTCTTCTCCGCATCAATTTCCACGGATGATCAAGCGTGTTCAATATGCAAAGAACAAGGAGGTTATTATCGTAAAATGATGCATTGCATCGAATGCGACTTCATCTTGTGTTTCAAATGCATCACTCTGCCAATTGAGGTAAATTACGATCAAGACCGGCATCCTCTGGCTCTCGGGATTGGCGATGAAGAGGGCAAAGGCGGAAAATGGTGGTGCGAGATGTGCGAAGGGAAAATGGAGCCGGAGAAGGAACTGTTCTATACATGCGATCGTTGTTGCGTCACCGTTCATGTCCGTTGCATTCTCGGAGAGGACCCTCACGTGATGATGCCTGATCGATATCTCGAGAAATCGGTGTATGAGTTTGGAGCTGAAGCCAACAACAGTTGTTGCCGACCCTTATGTCATCGATGTCGGAGACGCTGTCCATTCCCCGTTGTTTACGTCACAAATGATCGTCGTTTCTGTACTCTACGTTGCCTTTGGGATCTCAAAGAGCTATCATAACTTTGTAAAAAAAAAATGGTTTGAATTTTAATAAACATTTTTTTTTTACTTTTGCAAAGTCATTGGAATGATCAAGCGGGCAACATTTTTTTTCCCTCTGTTTATTAATATTAATGCCCATGTTGGTATAATTTAATATAAATGGATAGACAACCACTCCAATATATAATATATAAAGTAAAGAGCTGGAATCCACAGCTAAACTCTAGTATTTTATAACAAAACCCAAAGTGAAAGATGGAAGAAAACAATCTGAAAAATATAATAAATCAATCAGACATGACTGAACGACAGGATCCTCGTATCTTTGTGTTCCGAATGTGACGAAACTCATTTCACGTCCATGAGGCCTTAGAGCTTAGATCATGTGTGGGATAATCTCTGTATATACATAAGGCCTCGAGATTCCATTTTTAGTTTATCAAGTTTATGGAGACAATGAAATAAAAGAATTCTGAATTAGTGAAATAAACATGGTCTCTTCTTCATCATTCAAACTGGAAGCCATCTTTATCCAAAGGACGCCACTCAAAAATCAGAAACTCTCTTGCATCTAAGAGAGAGAGAGAGAGAGAGAGAGAGAGAGAGAGAGAGATATGGAGGGGAAAGA